TCCTGGACATTTCACATACAAGGATATTTTACCTTTTGGCAGATAGGAAATGGGCCTGAAATGGGCCTAAAATGGGCCTGAAATGGACATGGCAGCTATAGTTTCAGCAACCATAAAAGGTAATTTGTTACATACATTTTATGAGCGCCTTAATTATACCTGCTCGAGACATTTTAAGAGTATTTCAGGACTATCATCAGTTTTTTGGTCTGTTAAATTTCTGAATCTCCGAAAGTGCTTGTTCCTGATGTCCTGAAATGTATTACAAAGCCATCAGTAATGATGGCTTTCCCAGCAATTTCCGGGACACTCATATGACCAGTACAGCCTGCCTAACTGGGATGTTTCAGGTTTATTTCAAAGCGCATGACAGACAGCCTTTTCCGACAAGAGATATTGCCTCAAAAGTAACAGAAAAGTGAGCATTTCAGCACTCGGGAAAGTTGCTGGAAAGTCTCCCGAAATGTTACATTTCGGATGCCTTGTCTGGGACATTTCGGGCCCCCTGAAATCTGGGGATGCCCGTAGTGAAACGAGCAAGATGCAGTTAAGCGCCTTGAAGCTTTGAAGCTTGATCTCTCGCCCTTATCTAATCAGTCGCTGATAACGACCTTGATGATAGCGCGTCTACGCAGTAATATGCCCGGGACTGGTAACTACACCGAATTTCACCGAATATTAGGCACACTCACCGGTACCCACTGGTATCCAGTGAAGGTCAGTGTTAGTCTCCAGTGGCTGCCGCTGTTGGCTGGTGGGTGGCAGTGAGTAACAGTGGGTAGCAGTGGGACACGCCGGATGCCGCTGGGCTCCGCCGATTGCCACTGGCTACCAGCATATACCATTGGAGATTTGTGTAAAACATCACCAAAAACTGCTGGCACATTGAGTACCAGCATAAAAATAGAGATTTTTCTGTAATAAACTCAATACATCCTTAGCCACACCTATAGACCCTTATTCTCCTCCTTCTTGCATGTTCTCCCAGAACTCCTCCCCGAGCGCACGGTCTTTACGCTCTATCCGTGCTTGGACATCTTCAGCAAAGAGTAGGAAAAGCGCATGGACAAACAGATCAAAGTTGACGTCTGTCATATTGCGAAGAGGCGCTTCGTAACCTTGAAGCCAAGCATTCAGCTGTTCGGCCGTTTCGGTGTTGAATGCACGAGTTTGATGGGTACGTCCCTGTTGATCCCTTTCTACCAATACGAGATCTGGTTGAGAGCCATTGGTAGGGGCCGGGTTGCACCATAAACGGCAGAGAACATCTGTGGCCCGGTGGTTGACGTAGTGGAAAGCATCGACAATGAATTTCGTCGATTTGAGCCATGGGTCCTCCACATTCTGTGTCACTATATGTCGCAAAAGATCGCAGGCGTCATCGTAGCACAGGAAACTAGGACGGAGATCAAAGTTATCTTCCCAGATTCTGTTCATGATAGACAGCACTTGCGGGGTACTTTCTGACTTATAGCACTTTCCCCAGCCGATGGGCATACCGCAAGACCACTGAACTGTCTCGATACAGTACACTGTTCGAGCGCGAAAGGTGTGTACAACTTGATTGCCAGGTATGTCTCCAAGCGGAGGCAGCTGCAGATGGAATGCTTCGTTTCCATCTGCTTGTCTCCGCTCACGGATAACGCGTCTGATTGTCGGGTAGGAGATGCGCTGAAACCTGTTTGCCCAAGCGTCCTCCCACTGAGAATGTGCAGGATTATCACAGGTGAGAGCATTTCCGGCTCGTCTTAGCCGACCACATGGTATGATGCCACACTTGTCACGAAGCAACTCGAGATGCTCGCGGCAAAAACGGCCATTCTTGAAATTAAATAGCGGTGCCGTGCAGTCATCTACTGCACAGATCTAAGGTGATCTTGTAAGCATTTCTGTAGATCCTAAGATGTAAGCTGTGTGACAAAATACTCACTCGATGGCCCACTACTTTACCATCCATGACCGCCATGCGGACATATCCACGTGGCGCATTAGGAGGGGGGCCCTCTTGCCTCGGAGGCCGTCTAGGAAGGCCTGCAGGTGTTTCTTGATGCGCCAAGCCATCATCATCCTGCAGTGCGGTTGAAGGTTAGCTCATCTGTTCTGCAGTCTAATAATGCGTCGCTAGCAGATCAGGCATACCTCTGGTGAGTTGGGTAAGTCTATAGCACCTGCCAAGCCCGCACTTTCCGGGTCATCATCAAGGACAGCACCTTCGTCTAGCAGATCGGTATGATACCGCTTGTGGTGTGTGCAGTCCATACATCCATGCTGCAGGGACCTTGCTAATGTTCCGCCGTCCTTCCCAATCATATCACGGATATGTTCCGCAAACATGCTTGAGTCGAGATTGGCAGGGCAGGCAAAAGAGGCTGAATGTCCATGGGCCAGCAAAAGACGTCTTCCAAAGTGCTCTATGAAGAGACGGCGAGACTGGCGGTATGTCATAGCAGGGCCATCACGAGTCATTGCGCTGATCCACTTTGCAAAGTTGGACCACCCGGCACGAAACTCGCGAACTGCGTTCTCTTGACCGAGGGCCACTCGTCTATCCACCCATAAGCCGTGCTTGGAAATTCGTAAGTATGTTGCTTGATATTCGAGCCGTTGAAGTCGTTCTCCTTGTACACCACGGTAGGTAATACGGTCCGGATAGTGGTCTGCTCCACAAGATGGGCAATGGCCTACTAAAAGGACACCCTTCCTCCAGAAGAAGCTGGCGTCCAGAACTCGAGTATTCTGTGTTTTCGTACGGAGCCTAAGAGAGCGAAAGCGAGTGGTGGGAGGACAACGGGTGCATGAGGTATGTGGGGATGTTAGAATGACTTTGAGTGGCTCTGGGATCAAAGACTAGGGGTTTCCTTGTGCGTCGATCCCCATGTACTCGTACAACTGATGTATATCTTGGGTAATTGCCGCTGCGTAGTTACGAGCCATCTCTGCATCTTCAAAAATGTCTTCATCTTCATTAAAGTTCGGAGGCAGAAGCGCAGTAGTAAGGAGTCTGGTAGCTGCTGTAAGCCAGGCCGTCGTTGCTGGCTGCCTTGGCTCAGCCTGCTGCCGTCTGCTGAGAGCGAGTACTTGGCTCAATGATGCTATAGTGGCCAGCACAATGAGAGCTTGTGAGAACGGAAGATAAGGAGGAAAATATGTGTCTAGAATGAGCAGCATGTCCAGAATAGTGGCCGGCATGGTGTAGACAGAAAAGAACACGAAGGAAAGTGACTAAAGTCAGTAAAATAATCTTTTAATTTTGCACTGTGCATGGCGCAACATTCACCCAGATTATTCATTTATGCGCCATCAAGCAGCACAGGCGTGGTGCATTATCAGATGGCAGTGAACAGGTAGATGCTTTCTATAGCTAACAGGTGCACTAGCAAGCTATCAAGGGCTATCAAGATCAGAAGATGTACGCCGCTCAGACTTCCCCTTCTTTACGACTCGAGTAGTGGTATCACCCTCATCCGAATCAATCTCATAGTAACGCTTCTTGCTCTTACCAGGCAGCTCTGACTTCCGAGTAGAGTCATGAGAACCCTCCAAGCTGCGCTTCTTCAGTGTTTCGTCTTGCCACTTCTTAAACTTCGCAACCGTCATTGAGCCAAAGCGCCGCGACTGCTTGCCTTCAGGGTCGTCGTACCACTCCTGCAAGGTCTGAAGCTTTGCCATAACGTCTTCTCGAAAGAGGAGCGCGTCTGAGCTTGCCTGGGAAGGCTTCATCCGAAAAGCCTTGTACACATCGATTTTCGTGAATTTACGGCCCGCAAACTCGCCTGCAGATGTGTACTCTGTGGTTGTACTGTGTCATTTATCATAACGTTAACTAATTGGTTAGACGTACTGCGTGGGATCTTATATCCGCCACCAGACTTCGCCCATCCCTTGGACTTTAGCTCGTCTAAAGCGCCGACAAGCGCCTTTCTGCGTAGGAGAATGTCTCCTGCCTTCTCCGCCTTTGGCCAGGGCAAGTCAGGACCACTAAGAAGCTCGTTGAGATATGCCGAGAGGTCGTCTAGTCCTTCGTCGTCCGAAGATAACTCGAGATCTGAAGAGATCTCTACAGCCTGCTTCCTGACAACAGACCCTGACGGGCGACCAGAAGATTGCTTGAGAGCTTCCGTCGTCATCTGGGGAGGCTCGGTTGGAATAGGCTATGAAGATACAATGAGACTGATGAGACGATGTATTGTTACAGCTGTAAGACAGTTATACCTGCTTGGATAGCTTTGAGTCGAGATAGAGCTCGCAGATGAGCAGCTCCTCGTCGTCCTCTACAGAGCGCAGATGATACGCATTGATGCGATCGAATCCCAATGCATTAAACTTCCTTCCGGCGAGCAGGCCTTCGACAGAGCCGAGGTTAACTCGCTGGCCAGAACCCGAAGGTCCATCGTGATAAATCCGTCCGCCACGTTCTGAACGTTACATGTAAGGACAGGTCGAGCTGGAGACTAGCTACGAGACTACTCACCTTTAATAGGACTACTCTCATTGACCGCTATTGGAAGAAGCTCAGAGAGCTTGGTGAAGAGCTGCTCTTGACCGTTCACTATCCGCCGCTCAAGAAGTCCCTTTCTGTAGCGTAGCCAGACCTCTTCGCCAGCTGCGTCACGGTTGTGGTGGTCATAGAAGCGTACAACAATATTCTCTGCCAGCAGAAGGTCACGTCACGCTTGTACGCTTCTAAAACAATGGTACGCACTGTTCTTCACTTCTAACGAGGTGTTCTGGCCCTTCTTTGGTGTGGAAGGGACTTCCTTCTCCTTGGATATAGAACGATCCGAGCCGTCCTTGCTAGCCTCCGAGGTGGGACTTGGGGCTGGAGACAAAGGAGCAGAGCTTGTCTCTGTCTCTTCTGCCGAAGCGAGATGATTCTTGTGGCTGTCTACACAATATAAGTTAGTTTAGTATTTTATGCTATAGGCGAAAAGTTACGTACTGCGCTCATGCTCGTCCTGAGGCACAACGACAGTTGACAGGGGCTCGTATTGAGGTGGGGGATCTGCAGTGATATTTTGCTCGAGGAGCTTCTTGTTGGCACTATCGCCAAGACGTTAGCGGTTATAGTGTTACGAAGAATTCATACGACATACCCTGTGGGTACACTGGGATCTTTAGCACTCTATGCTTCGTCCTCGCAAGCCTTGTCTGCACTTGTCCTGGCACTGTCCTTCGTATCGGCCTTTCTACCGGTTCCTGCAGATCCGGGGCGGAATGAGACGAGTCCTTGGTAGTGTGGGTCCGCGCAGATGGTCTCCTGATTGTCGCTGATGTACTTCTTGATTTCCTTGACGTGTGCGTCCTTGTTTTCCTCAGGCCGAACACGTTCAGAGAGGCCAAGCTCCTGTGCTATAGTCACCAGCGAGTTTTTTCGCCGAGATTTATTCACAGGGCCAGATAGGAAGGGTCTCTCCATGGCAATAATGCGAGGGGAATGGTAGTGACTCAGGGAAGCACGAAGGAAAAGGAGTTCCTGTTGCGACCCCTTTAAATGGTATCTACCTCCGGGTCACTTGGTCACAGTTTCAGGTGAAATCCTTGGGCTTACCGCGTTCAGTACTAATGTAAGTATTTTTGACGAATATACAATACTATACAGACTCAGTTAAGGGCTCCTGAGACATCCTCTAAACTCTCTGCGAGTCGAGGAATTAACTGTGAAGCTGGAGGCCAGTTAGTGGTCACATCAACATTTCGACAGCTGCAAACCTTGCTGCGGCGATTCTTGTAAGAAATATATTTTCTGAGAGAGAGTATACCTAATATGAGCCATCTATGCACAAAATGAGAGACCAGACTTGCCAGATACTAGTCTTAAATTGGTTTTTTACGAGAGTCTGCCCAACCCGGAAAGCACGTCACATGCTGTGACATAGTGTCACACACCTCTGCCGAAGACCAGCGAGAAGTGCCAGAAATCACTAGTAAGCAACACATATCAGCAATAGATGGCATACGATGGCGAATAGTGGCTGCTACCAGTGTATGCCACCAGTGTTTGGTGGTGGCCACCACCCGCCGTGTGAATTGATTGTACCAAATACCAGTGGCAACCAGTGTGGCATGCTGAATAGCAATATATACCAACGTGCTATACTGCTTGCCACTGATTTACAGTGGTATTCACCAGTTGCCACTGTGTTACGGTGGATTCCAGTGGACAACGAACGGCGGTGTTCAGTAGCGCCCACGACGATGTGCCCGTATATGGCAGGGACCACCAGCGAACACCAATGACCACCGGCAAACACCGGTGGTTATCGCTGGAGGTTGGCAAACGCCGAAGTTGCAAGTCACGGGCTTATAACTCAAACCTGCTAACGCTGACCCGGTGACTTTCCTGATATGGCTGGAAGCAGTCCCGTATAACTTAAGGGCCGCAAAGTCGTCGCATCTGCGCCTTGTTTCTGATCTCCACTGACCGCATTTTACACTGCTACACCATGGAGCAGAAGCTAGCTAGGATTGCCGACGTTTCAGAGAAAGAGTTCGATTTCATTGTCATCGGTGCGTTGCACATCGTTCTCGCCACATGCTCTCATATGTCTCATCAGTATGCTGCAGGCGGCGGTGTATGTATTCAAATACGAAGTTCTCGCAGTGTGCTGCTCATGTCCCGTTTATCAGACCGCAGGCTGCGTTGTGGCAGCCAGGCTGAGCGAAAACCGACATGTCTGTCGCTTTGT